TTAAACAAAATGTAATAGATAATCGTGAATTTAACGAAATGAAACTCGCTGGTTAATACTTTATATTGGATCGTATCTAAATCTGATCTCTGATAAAGCTAACTTTGCTTTTATAAAGGTAACTAAATTTGGTATTCTTTATACATTTATATTTGATTCTCGCATTTGAGGCTATCGCAATGACGAAATTTAATTTGACTTGTTGTGATTTATGTAAATGCTTTTTTAACGAAACTAATTAATATTAGCGCTTTATAGTCTACCGCAGCGAGGAATCCGACCTAAGTGAAATTCTCTAAGTGTACCTAAATACGCTTTCGCATTTAGATACGCTTTCGCAAAATTAGACAGATTAATGATTTTATCTATTGTCTAACGCGGTGTAGTCGACTACGGAAAAGTACGCTAGAGTGAGAACAGTATTCTTTTACTAATTTCAACTTCCAAAATTTATTTAAAGTTAATGAGTTTCATCGGAACAAGTATTTTTGTATAATTTGACTCGACAACTAATTGTCCATGACTTTTTGTCAGAGCGCACACTGACACCCAAAACCAGATCGCTTAATTAGGGAGCCTGTTGTTCACCAGCTGCTAAAACAACCCAACGATCCAGAGTCAGATGAACAATATACGTCCAACAGGCTAGCAAACCTAGATTGACTCTAATTATGAACTCGTAATTGCTGAACCGCCACCCAAAAGACACGGGCTTCAGTGACCAAGTCGCTCAATGAGGGGGAGTAACTCAGAGCGAGCTCCGAGAAACTGAAGACGGGTTAGCAATTCGACCAAAAATCAAATACGAGTAGCTGAGAGCTTTCGTTCGATGTCTTAGCCTTTCTTGGCGCTAAGTATAGCACTCTCCTAACGGAGTTTCAATTACAAAATCGCTTGAATAGGGAGCCTGTTATTCACCAGCTGCTAAAACAACCCAGCGACCAAGTAACCGAATGGCGTATACCCGCTTTACCAGTCAAGTATTAAGAATCTTTTTGGCTCTTTGACACCAAAAATTGTTCCGGTTATACTTATCAAGGAGACTTCTAACGCGTTCGACTTCGAAAATTGTTCTGCTGCCTAGCCGGGTTTCGCTCGCCCTTTTATACTTGCAGGTTTGCCGAATTCCTGGAATTTCTGTGACGTCAGAATATATAAATTTTCATATAAATTCGTTATTATACATTAGTTATAAAATTGGATGATTTAATTATGTTTTAAATGTCGCTCTTTAATTTCTGGCTAACATTTCGATATTAAAATAATAGTATAATGGTATTTTAGCGAAAAATACATTTTCTATCCTTTGCTAATGAACTGCGTACAAATTCTACGTGAGCCGAATCTATTCCGATTTACAGATTTTTAGCTGAAGGAAATAATTTTACTTCCGGCCATGAATAGTTTAGTACTGGTTGATTTTACGTATATAAATTGATTTAGTTAATTAATTAATTTAATGTCTGGTAATGCCGTAAATAGAAATAGTAAGTATCTCTATCCTTTTCTAGGATTAGCGCTGATCTCAAGGATTTCGGGGCGAGCATCGCGGCACGTAGGCACATCATAGCGTAACGGAAATTTCTCATACAAAACTATTTATTAGAATTAGAATAAAATAATACATAATCTTGGTTTAATCGTTCTAACTTAATATTCAATTATTGGTGTGAAAAATATTACCTACTCTAAATCAAATCTATAAGATAATTACTATAAATGAATATATGTATATATTGGTTACCGACTGTCGAATTTGATAGATATGGTAATAGATACCTGATGTACTGTCGATAATTGGCAACTACTGTCGATAAATGTATTATTCCAGTTGGTGGGTAATGTATAAAAAGAAAAGGTTCCGCGGGACGTTACACATAGAATACGTAATATACACTTGTATCTACACGCATCTTTTATTCAAAAATATATTACTTTTCAATAAGTTTTTAAATTAATTAAAATCGCATTTATCACATAAAAAGAAATCTCTTGAGTATAATAATTTTGCTATTATCGTGTTATATTACCTTAGCAAAATCTTAAAATTAAAAATGCATTTACAAAATAACCTTTCGATTTCATGAAAGATTCGGTTAATTTTGTTTTTGATACAAAATTAGTGAACACTTTACATTAAAATCGTTGTACTTTTTTATATCGGTTTCACCTAAACGTTTACAATAAATAAAGTATTTAATTTAACACTAGATTGACAATAGTTCAATAATAAATATACATTAACAATTAACAGAACGAAAAGAATAATATCAAGATACAGAATTTGTGTTTAAGCAAAATAATTTTTCAACTACTTTGCTTTCAAGTTTTATATAAGTATGCCCTATAGCATACGACGTGTAACTACGAATAAGGTCAAATATAACTATTTTTATTGTTATCTTATTTTATGATTTTAATGTTATTTATCGTTAAAAAGGAGTAATAACTGAAATGAATTATGAATCGAATATAGGGTGGGTGATGTTAGACGTTAGTAAACAACTTATAACTGACAGAAATTGATAGCAGGCATTGAATTTCCAAGTTTGTCGGACGATGTAATAATTAGCTGTGGTGCTCTATGAAACGGTAGGGATGGATTACGATATTGATAACAATGATTAAAGGGGATGGGAGTGATTGCCAGTCCTTTGTTGTTTTTGTAAGCAGGGACAGATTATTATATGTATACACACTTTAGTCCTTAGTAATATAACTCAAGGTTACCGAAATGTCAATGCTTAACGAAATATATGATATTATATGTCAGTTAGGTACTTTACTACAAGTATTTTAGCTCTTAATAAGATATGTAATAACTGCCAATGCTGTATTTACTATATTACTTTCCCTCGACTTTTAATATTTGCTTCACGGGCCATAACACCCATTTTATGTACATCCATAAAATCTTTATATGTATACATTTTAGTTAGTTGTACATCAGTATTAGATTGTTTGATTGCCACAATATAATATATTTACACAATATTTATTAAGAGAGGTAGTTTGGTAGCCATGATCCTGTGATTTAGCTGTCTAGTTTGCTGGATTTCAATTCATTGGACTTCTTTCTTTGAGACTGTGTAAAAGGTAAAGTGAATTCACGTACATCCCTAGAATTAGATGCATTGTACAATTGTTAATGCAGAAAGTATTTAGAGCGCAATGATGGAACATTCAAACAAATTATAATAAAACACCATTCTGGTATAAGATATAACATACCTCATTAAGTATTGATATTTTTACGATGTTGAAATTAGTATTTTTATACACAGAATAATAAAAAGAATCGAATGATTTAATAGAAAAATTAGATTGCATTAATGAAGGAAGTGCAATTGCACTTGATATG